TTTCTGTCTTTAGATATGTAGGAAATAGCTTGTTTAAAGCCATTTTAAATGTATGGATAGTTAATTTTAGCCATAACTCTGTGTATGTCTTTACTTATGTCTTTGCACGTGTCTTTATCACCTTGAGACTCACTTTCAGGGGAAATATGGAAAATAAATTGGTAAATAGTAAGATATTCTAGTTTTGTGAAATAATTAGATAAGTATTCCCAGGCAAACACTGCTGTCATCCACATTCTGCACAGTTGGCGGGTGTGATGTGGGGTTGTGGGCCAGTATGTCTGGAGAGCACTGAATTGGGAGAAAACTATCTTAAAATTTCAGACCAGGATTGGAAAGAAGTGGATTCCAAACACTTTTGATACTTTCAGATAATTTCACGTATTAACTCTCAGTATAACCATACTTCAAAGGATTATTATAGGAATGAAATGGAGGGAGTACTTGTACAACACTCTGAAATAGCATAAACTTGGAATAAACAATGATATGTGAACACCTAGTCATGTCAGGAGCAACTTGAGAAACTGCAAGTCATGTCTGGTGTGAAAGAATTGGCTATCTGCAAGGATGCCAGTATGTTTTGATGTTTTATCATCCTTGTGAGAGGCTTCTCTCATGTCCCCACATGGGGAGCTGGAGCTGACAGAGGGAGCTCATCCACACTCTCCCTGGATTCCAACCTTCGACCTGTTGGTCTTCAGTTCTGCCAGCACAGGATTTAACCCATTGCGCCACTGGGGCTCCACCTAGGACTGTATCCATAGAGTGTTGAAGCTAGGTCTTCTTTACAATTTAAAAGTATTCACATTTCTAAAGTATTTGAATCCAATAGCCAAAGACACAATATTTCCACAAGAGAGTGAAAACATGGCTTTTTAACCAAGCCTTTAAAGAACTAGTGCAATAGTTAGACTTGGAACATTGTGCAATTACCATTGGAGCAGCCCGGATTATGCTAGTGGATTACGTGTTTAACTCTTAATGTATTGTTTTAAATGTTTTAATTGCTTTAATGTATTTTTCAATTCTATTTTAATGTTCATTTAAGTGTACATTGTGTTTTAGGGCATCAGATTGTTGCCTGTATTTAAAGCCGCCTTGATTCCTCTCTGGAGTGAGAAAAGTGGGGTAGAAATGTCGTCAATAAATAAATAAATAAATAAATAAATAAATAAATAAATAAATAAATAAAAATAAATAAATAAATAAATAGGCTTCCTCTTGGTATAACTAATCTTTCAATTTGGAATGTCTATGTATATATCATATAGAACTCTTCCATTTCACATTTTTCATCACTTCGCCATATGTGTTGGAAACCCCCTGAGTCCTTTTGGGGGGGATAGGGCAGTCTATAAATAAAGATTATTATTATTATTATTATTATTATTATTATTATTATTATTATTATTATTACAGAAACCATAACAGTATAAAACACATTTGTTGAATATAACTAGTGAATTCAAGAGCTTTGTTTCACACTTACGTATTGTCTCAAGTAAATTAAATTAGCTATTCTGGATTGATTTACGGAATGTCCTCCTGCTAAATTATGCAAGACAAACATAAACAGATGGAAAGAGAGCATTTTTCTGACACATAAATCTTTGAACTTCGGGTACCTGCAGGATAAAATGCTGTTTCCCAACGAAATCCTTAATCTCACATCTATTAAGAGGCAAAGTCCGCTGTATCCTCCAAAGAAATTGTTATAAAATTGCAGCCTTGGTTTGTTGCTTTAAAAAAAAATGATCCCATTTCACCATTGAGGTGTGCATTAGTCAACTGTATGTGATCAATGACTAAAGGACCAGGCTGTGGCACAGCTGGTTAGTAGCCAGCTGCATTAAATCACTACTGACCGAGAGATCATGAGTTCAAAGCCAGCCTGGGTCAGAGTAAGCTCCCGAACATTAATAGTCTAGCTTGCTGTTGACCTATGCAGCCTGAAAGACAGTTGCATCTGTCAAGTAGGAAATTTAGGTACCGCTTTATGGGGAGGCTAATTTAACTAAATTTATTATGCCATAAAACCTTCCAGCAGCAGAAGAATGAGAAAGTACTCCATCAAGGACTCAGTGTCACAAGTGGATGTGAAGCGGCAGCTCCCCTGTGACCGGAAACCGGCATACCCTCATGAAGCTGAAAAAGCTGGAATGTTAAATGCATCTGTGTCTGTCTGTATATGTTGTATGTCTAAATTGCATTGAATGTTTGCCATGTATATGTGCATTGTAATCCACCCTGAGCCCCCTGCAGGGTGAGAAGAGTGGAATATAAATACTGTAAATAAATGAATGAATGAATGAATGAATGAATAAACACAGACAATCACAGTGTCAGAATATGCAAAATTATTAAGGCCTATGGGATCATCATAAAATCACCCATTCATTTCAATGGGGCATATGCCAAGTACTCCATCTAGTATTGGTGGCTAATATAGAAGATTTGGGATCCAAAGCATTGTCAGCATAAGCCACTTCCTATAGTTGTTTCACATTCTGATCTCCAATATGGCTAAGAAACAAACTGGAAAGAAGGAACCAAAAAAGAAAACTGGCTATTTTCTCCTTCTCATCACCTAGCAACAGTTCTCTATATCTTTGAAACATCACCAATTATAGAGAATGAGAAAATGAAAAAGGCTGAGTTGTCCTTCTTTCTCCCTGACAATTGAAATCTATAGCGCCGACTGAAATAAACTCTTCCTAAGGCTTGGCAAAAGAACCATTGACAACGAGCCTGCAGTTAGATATTATGTGTGTCCAAACCACCCAGGATTCCTAAACCAAATGACCTCACTTCTAATACCTCTGCAGCAAGAAACACTTCCCTAAAAATAAAGTATGGGTAATGTGTCTTCCATGTTCTGGTAAACCAAATAATTCTCAGTAGCAAGCAAAACATTATCAGCTAGTTCTAGACATCAAACTTGTATTGCACTGTTACTATGTGCTGCCAGTTTATGGAGTGTTGATAAACCAGAGAAGCTGTTATGTCTGCTTTCTAAACTCTACTAAGAGTAGAGTTTTTACAGTAATGTAATTATTATTATTATTATTATTATTATTATTATTATTATTATTTTATTGATTAGCTTTAGGCCATATCATAATACCAAACCAAACAACAAGGCTTGATAAGACTTGATTGCACTCAATGTAAGTTAAAATAAGACATTTATAACAATACAGTAAATAAATATGATAAGATATGATAAAACTGATAAAACTGAGTATATACATCATGTTTCCTTATCACCCCTACAACTGACCCCAATCAGCCCCACATATGTGGTTCTCAAGCGTATTGTTTTGTTTAAATACAGAACTGTTTTATATGTCATTTTTGGGTCTTGGCCACACATAAAATATGTTGTTCTGATGTCAGATTCCCAATACATTGGATATATGGACCAAGGTAGAAGTCTCTCACCTTCTGATACAATTTACAATCAAATAATATGTGTGTTATATCCTCAATTTCATGTGCTCCGCAGATACAAATCCATTCATTATAAGATATGCTGTTAAATCTTCCATATCTGACCATTGTATCAAGCTGATCAAATCCAGCTCGAGTGAATACCTCCCTAAAATATTTTGGCATTTGCATTTTAGGATAGTTGGCAATTTGGAAGGTATTTTTGTAATGCAATAAAAAAAGTTTCTTGTCTGTTCCAGAAAAAGAAAGGTTCTTAGAGACCAATGCATGCCAATACTGTATTTTGTAAAAGGAATAATTGTGTGATTGCATTAAGAGGTAAGAGGAAAACAGAACTTTACATTGGAAAGTACTTTAGTAGTGATTTATTAAAATCCAATACAGCCTTTTTCCAGATTATAGCACATTATATTACTTATTGGCTATACTTATGGTCTCTTCCAATTCTATGATTAACAGGTTAATACAGCAGCGATATATCAAAGTGCATTTTCATTTCATTTTTGAATTTACAAAGTGAAATGCTCAGTTCTACTAGGGCTAAACTCAAAACACAAAACCAACTGAACATCAAATGCTAATCAATGTGGTCAGCTGAAACATTCACACCTAGCTCTAGCAGACAAAAGTCCTTTGTCCCACCCTGGTCATTCCACAGATATATAAACCTTTTTTCCTAGTTTCAACAAACCTCACTACCTCTGAGGATGCTTGCCATAGATGCAGGCGAAATGCCAGGAGAGAATGCTTCTAGAACATGGCCATACAGCCCGAAAAACCTACAACAACCCAACTGAACATTTTTGCTTCACAACCTCAATTCACGTCATTGATTTATCTTGAACTCATGCAGACATTATTGTAGAAATGAATGGAGACCGCCTAGCTAAAGTATTTGGTCACTTGGCAGAACATTTCCTGGACAGAAAACTAAGCCCAAGCCATCTGCACAAAATCTTGACAGGGCATGTTCTCCATCAGATTTTTCTGACTATACTGGCTTGTACATTCCACCAACCTAGCAGTTCGAAAACATGCAAATGTGAGTAGATCAATAGGTACTGCTCCTGCAGGAAGGTAATTGCTCTCTATGCAGTCATGTTGGCCACATGACCTTGGGGGTGTCTAATGACAACTCTGGCTCTTTGGCTTAGAAATTGATATGAGCACCAATGCCCAGAGTCGGACACGACTAGACTTAATGTCAGGGGAAAACCTTTACCTTTACATTACCTGCAATTCAAAAGCATAACTTTTCCAGGTTTTCTAGTTTAAGGAACCCATCGCATTCCAAATTCTCCTTCTTACAACTGTGCACAATTTTATATTAGCTATGGATCATATTAACATCTAGAAAATAGAGTATTTTTACACTCATACCTAAACATACCCAGAGTATTGATTAATTTGTGAAAGAACAAATAAATGAAAATCTAAAATAGTATTAATCTAAAGAATTCCCTTTTTATCATGCTTTCAATTTTGGCTATCCTACAGAGAGGTGTAGAAATATGCCCTAGTTCATCAGCACTTTGAGAAATAATTACCTTGTATGAATTCTGATTTTCGGCTTACTGTAGGTAAAGTCCGGTTCAGCCCCAGGATCCTGTCCAAATGGAAGGCAAACACTTCACTCATGTCAAAAGGCCTCTTGATAAGCCCGCAGCGTCCCTGGCTGCAAGCGGTGCTTTTGGTTACCTGGTCCACAGCAGTAGTCTTTCGAAATATTACAAGTACCCCGTGTTGAAAAGGTGCCTCTTGGACCCTTTCTATTTTGGAATCTGCCAGAAGATGCATATGTGAGATGTCTTCCTTGCTGAACCAAGGCGGTGGGCTCTCGCTATATATCCTGATATTACTCTCCTGAGCACTGGATTGAACATATCTATTTCTTACCATCATTGCAGCTCTCCAGTGTGCCTTATAATTTCTTGGCACCTCTTTCCCTTTGTAGTCTTCCCTGTGTTGTCTGTTTTTTTCTGGAATGGCTGTTCTTCCATTGTTCCTCAAATCACTTGTATCGTGGAATGACTTTTGGATGAAGGTTTTCCCCTGGCTTGTGCCAATAAGTGGATTTCCAAAGTGCATAGACACAACTTGCTTCTTCCTTCGCTTAGGCTTCACTGTGCCTCTGATGTTGGCCGGTTTGCTGCGCTTGGAGCGCAGGGTGATGTACACTACATTGGGCAGTGCTGAAGTGTCATTTGGCCCGACGGTGGACCTTTCCAAGTCAGGAAGCAAGAAGGTACCATCCAACGGGATTTCGAGGGAAAGGCTCTGGTCAGCAGCTTGCACATTCCGGATGTTTGCTTTCAGGGGTCTACCTCTGTGCTGTGGTCCAATATGGCCTACTTGGCTGACAAGGAAACCCAGATAGATCACAAAGGCTGTGCCCAAAAGCAAATTTCTTCTGGTCCTTGGGCATCGGCTGCTACAGACTCTCAGCAGCCGAGGCAGACGCAGAGAGAAAACAAGCCAGTTTATGATTTGGCATGTCTGATCCAGGAAGCTCATTTCTCCAATGAATCCACATGATGAAATAGTTTTAAGAGTCCACTAGTTGCCGGCTAGGGTGGTGATGATGCATGCCTTCTAAGTGACCAGATTTCTCCTCCTCCTTTTCCAGCTGTGTGTGTGTGTATGTGTGTGTGTGTGCGCGCGGACTGGAAATGCCCTAGGAATGTGAACGTTCAGACCTAATGAACATGACAGGCACTCCTGACAAGCTATTAAAATCTTATCGGCCACCTCTGAGGGTGTGATTTTGTTTCGATGAATGAATGGAGTCGGCTGTGTAAACAAAGTTAACTGAGTCACAGTATGAAAAGTCTGGGAGTCCCTTCTGGGCTGGTGCACTCCTACAGGACAGAGAAATACCATTTGATAGTCATCATCAGCGGCACAGTTATTTTTAACCCATGCAAATCTCTGTGTTTAAGATCTCCAGCTTTTTCATTCCTATAGGAATTAGAGTGAGAGAGAGAAAAGAGAGAAACTGAGAAGTGAATCCAGATGTAAGATTCGCAAGAAACTACAAAAGTAGCATCCTAAGGATAGTATAAAATGAATTTATTATCCAGAGTAATTTAACAGATAACTATGCATGGAAGTTTCATTTCCAGAATTTAAAAGTTTTCTACTCCCTGTGCAAAAGACTGGGAAAATGTGCTATAAACCATATATTATAATACCTTTTATTATTATGAGAAAATGTTGCATGAACTAATCAGAGACTGAGCCAACCCAAACAGGTATGCATGTACTATTAATGAGTTAACTTAGGGGGCTTCCAGACAGCACTAAATCATGGGTTTGAAACGGGGCAAAAAATCCCAGGACTTAAGAAGAGGTCCACATACAGACCTGTTGGTCCCAGGATTTCTGCCTCTGTTGTCCAGATTTGATGCTTTCTTGGGAGATTTAGAGGCTCCCAAGATGCCCGCCGTGGGACTTCCGCTGGAAACTCTGGTGTTTACTTAAAACTTTCAAGATGTGGATATGCGGAGAATCACTGCAGTGAAATATTGCAAAAGTTCTGTTCTTTGTTCTGACCAGAGAAACTGTACCCTCCAGACATTTCATGAAGTACCTGCCACACAAAGTTTACAGGGTAGGACCACTTCTGCTGAAGTCAGCACTGCACAAACAGGAACACACCCTTTCAAGCCAGGAACAGAACTTTCTCATTATTGACACTTTTTAGAGTCTGGCTGCCTGGCCATCTGTCCAGACAGATTTGGTTGTGTACTTGTGGCATCAAATAACAGGGTGCTGCTCCTGGGTTATACATGGCTGTTCCTGATGGCTAGTCTTATGAAAAGATGTACAACATTGACTGAGGGGGCACAACTTTGTCTCGGCCAGAGAAAATGTGCCCTCTACCTGTTTCATGAAGTTTCTGGCACAAAAACAAAGTTTTTGCCTTCTACTTAAGTGTCACCTTCTTTTTAGGAACCAACCAATCAGGAACAAACATCTAAAACCCAGGAACAAACCCAGATTTAAAAATCCTGTGGTTTCTGATTGCAGGGACATACAGATATGTGAAGATCTGCATATTCAGCTGAAAACTGTGATATTCCTGCACCTGGAAATCTCGCGTTTTTTGCCTTTTGTAGTGACTGCTTCCATGTTTACAGGAAACAGTGTCTGGCAACCCTCCTGTTTGCTGTGGAAGCTCCTGGGATAGAGGTACTGTCTGGATGGCCCTTAGGCCTAACTTGAGCTGAATATATCAGCCAAATATCAAAACACTTCCTGTCCTACATGAATTGGCTTCACTCTTATATAACCAACAAATTTCTTCAGCATCCAGATATATATTTAGAATAAAATGATAAAACTCCAATTAACAAACTATTCCATGTTTCATCAAAAGAATGTGTGAATGTGCTTTATTTATTTATACATATTAATTTACAAATATAAAACCAAGGAAACAATTATATTGACTATAATCAAATGTTCCAGACACCACTTATCTGTGAACACTTTTTTTTTCTTATGGGCCAACATGAGATGGTTTCCTTTTAAAGAGTTTACTAGGGTTTTGTTGCATTCATGTTAGATATTTATGAGAGTAAAGAAAATTTGTGGCATGCTGTGTTGGTAAGATTATTTAAATTTTCATTTATAGCAAATATAAACAACAATCAGAAGTTCTTTCATAAGGTGATACATTACTTTTGCATCAGGAAATTATGTGCATGTGTGTAATAAGGCATAGTTGTGCAGTGTTTTTAAAAGGGCCAACAATGATGGGGGAAATAACGAATGAGCTTCCAACTTTTCCAAACTTCACATTCTTAGAATCGCAGTTCATTTATTATTCAGGATTGAGTGTAAGCTTTGTATTCTTTTAAAATACTCTGTTCTGGTTGCACATGGTGTTTATTTCTAGGCAACTACAACAAACTTATAGAAACTTATCACGGTTGTTCGAAAATAAAAATAAAGCTATTTTAAATTCTGTAATGGAAAAACTCCAGAGTGATGTGTTTCAAAAAAATAAATAAACTCGCATCTGTGAATTCCCAACCATTGAGGGCCCTCTAGTGTGCATTAGCCAAAACAGTTCAGGAAATAATAAAAGAAATGCCTGGAGGTCCAGACAGTTTGTTATGGTTGCTAATAGAAGGAGATTTATTAGGGTTTCAAAATAATAAGTTAAAAGTAAGGGTGGTGTTTTCCCTATCTGATAAAGAGCAATACTATAACGATTCCACTTCAACTGTCATAGTTCCATCCTGATTTCCAATTTAGGAAAGGGCATTTTGAATTCCCAACAAAACAGCTCTAGTGTTTTCACAAACCCTAAGTTTCCACAGGATTGAACCATGGCAGTTAAATGTGGTCCTATAATTCCACACTGATAGTGTGAAAGTACTCCTTGTTCTTTCCTTGGTGTGAACAATTTATCATAAAGATATGGGATGTCCAAAGGTTTTTTTCTTTATATTTTATACTTGAAAGTGTGGACTTTCATTGTTAGAGGGACTCAATAATCATCGTCGTCGTCGTCATCATCATCATCATCATCATCATCATCATTGTCATCATCATCATTGTCATTGTCATCTTTATTTCTCTCTCCCCGAAGGAACTCAGGGCTGTATACCCATAAATATAGGCAAACATTCAATGCCTTAGGTAAATACAAACACATCAAAATAATACACAATAAAGCACAGTAATAGTGAGCTTACAACAAAGAATTATGCATTGAAATGAAAATAAAACATAAGCAATCCAATAAGACATAATTAACTAAAACATAAGTAAACTTTACGACATATACTCTAAAAACAATTTAAAATACAGTTACATTAAAATTGGCTGGTGTCGGTGTTCATTTAAGATGTATCGTGACAGCCATATAATACAAGTGGGATTAGACCAGCATTCCAAATGGTTAAAGTGTCTAAGTCCTCCTCCTTTCCATGCGCTAAAGTGCATAGGTGCATTTTTAGAAGTTTCTTAAAGGAGAGGAGGGTAGGGTAGGGGCCTTTTTTACTTCTTTAGGGAGGGAGTTCCAGAGATGGGGGGCAACCAGAGAGAAGGCCCCCTCTCTCGTTCCTATTGTCTATTGAGATTGGGTCAACTATTAGACAACTATTGCGAACACTCCATAAAAGAAATACTCTGAAAGTAAGATGCAGTCCCCAGGGCCATCTTACCAAAGCGGTCAAAACTGAGAAAGGCATCAAGCAAAGGTGCATTTTGACCCACTACTATTCAATTTCTATATTAACTCTATGGTGGAACACTATACAACTTGGACGGTTGTGAAGCATACATTGTTTCTGAAGAATTGCATAACTATATGCATAGCTTTTATTACCATAAAAGAGAAGCTAAGAGCTTAATAAGAATAATTTGTGCTCGAAACAATAGAATACTGATCTGTGTTGGAATTAAGGTCACATCGAAAGGTTGCTAATAATAGAAAGATCATTCTAATTTATCACACTAAGTCCAAAGTTGTCAGAGGAAAGTTAAAAGACAAGCAAGGCTGCTGCTGACTCAAAGTTTGAATCAGCAAAACTGCCAAACTCATGAATATCTGACAGTGTGCTTTTAAGTGACCTGAAGCTAGCAAACTGCATACCAAATACTAGCTTCCTTTTCTTAATGAGTGTGAGAATTTGAACAAGCAAGTCTACATATGCTTGCTTAGAAAACAGTCCAGATGAAAGCATCAAGCCGCCAACAACCTCTCTTGAAAGTCGTCCTATTGAACAGATGTCATACTTCCATGTAGACATTTGAAAGTGTGTGCTGTTAGGACTGCAAAAACTGAACACAATGGAAAACACCAATCCAAATGCATCAAAATTACTGTCCCTTATTTTCTGTTTTGCTATACCAGCCTTGTTGTCTAGGGACAACTGGGATTGTAATTCAATATGTCCAATACATCTGAAAGATGCTAGGTTGGAAGAAGACTGTTGTAATTATTATATCACACTTTCTCTGTAGCCTTGACAGAACTCTGGTGTAAGACTTATTCTGTGAAATCTTGCTATTAAATGTGTTCCTCTCCAAAGGGATCAAGATTCATAAATTAATACCACAGTAGAATCTAAAGTTTCAAATGGGCTATGAGAGTCATTTTGTCCAACCTCCTTCCATGAAGGAATACACTGAGAAGACATTTATGAGAGATGGATATATCAATTCCTTGGCCGTTTATTTGACTCACAATCAGCTATTACTGGGAGGGAGTTCTTCCTAATGTTTAGGTCAAATGTTTTATTCTGGTACTTTGAATTCATCGTTTTCAGCCATTAACCTCTGGAGCAACAGGAAGAATCTTGCTCCATCTTGTAAAGATCATCCCTTCAAATAATTAAAGATAGCTCTCATATCACCCTTCTTCTGTTCTCCTTGCTGTTCCTGATAGACATGGTGTCCAGAAGGTTTAGCATCTTAACCTCCTTCATCCAGACAAATGCCAATTTGTCAAGATCCTACTTGAATTATAGCCTCCATACAGATTTCCAATGAATTCTTGCCAAAACTGCAATATAGATATAGGCACTTGATATGAGATTTCATACCAGGTGGGAGTTCATGCTCCTGTGGGGGAAAAGGTTATACTAATTGTAGCAGTGCTACTGGTAGGATCTTCTTTGGACCTCTTCACACGGCCACTGCTTCTCTTGGGTTCACTTTCCCTCACTTGCCCATCTGACTGGCCGGCAAGGTGATCACATGGAGGGAAGCTAGGAGTGTGTGTAGTGCACACAGCTTCCCCCCACGGATCTGACAATATGGAAGGCTTTCCATGTTGTCAGATCCATGGGGA